ACCCAGATTGTTGGGGGCAATATGCTGACTCTCTGTAAACCGCTTAGAGAGGCCTGAAAGGCCTATGAAGCGGTATATAAGTCTACTGCTATTGTATGATGAATGACAAATGGAAATCGGTATGTTTGAGCCGTGGTGGGACAGTGGTTAGAATGCAGTGTTGCAGGCCAATTCTGTGGACTGAGGATTGCCAGCATTTTGACAGTTCAAATTTCACCAGGCTCAAAGTTGACTCGGCCTTCCATCCTTCCGAGGCTGGTAAAATGAGGACCCAGATGGTGGCGGGGGCAATACGCTGACTCTAGAAACCACTTAGAGAGGGCTGTAAAAGCATGTGAAGCAGCATGTAAGTTTAAGTGCTATTGCTCTGGCTAACAAAGAGAAAGCTTAGGAAAGACATAATATCCATCTTCCAATACTTGAAGGACTTACGTAGTTCTCTATGAGCAGTGATGGGTTTCACATTTTGTTAGCACCTGTTTGCGGGCGTACACGCCCCTTCCGCGCATGTGCCTGGCCTTCCGCGCATGCACTTTGCTTGTGCACATGCCTTCTGCGCATGTGCCCGGCCTCAAAAACGTCCCTAAACAGGACGGCATAGAGCCACGGTTGAGCCCACCTGTGATTCCCGCTACCAGTTTGGGCAAAATGATCCGAACCAGCTGAATACACCTTTGTATATGAGATTTTTGAATATATTAGTTTAGGTCTATGAGCTAAAAGCTGATGTTTCTCCCAATTTTCTTTGTAAAGTATTTCGTCTTTACCGGTATCCTGGCTATGGTGACTTGTGCCGTGTTTCTCCGTCTCAATTCGGTCCTTAAGTTGGCCGTGCTCCTCATCATGATTGCAATCTACTGCTTCCTGACTGAGACCATTTATGCTTCCCTGTTTCTCCAGTACGATGAAATCAATCATAACGGAGAGTAAGTCTTCGTTTACATATTTGTTTACTCAAGATATTTTTATCCCGCCTTTATTATTTTTATAAATAAATCAAGGGGGAAAACATATCTAATACTGATTCCTGATTAAAACTTACACTCACCTGATGATTGGCCTCAAATCATGCAGCTGACTTTCGTGTCAAAAGTGGAGCCCGTCATCATCATCATCATCTTAGCCATTGTCTATCCACTGCGGGATGAAGGCCTCTTTCACATGTTCCCAACCAATACAGCCCTGAGTTTTCTTTTGCCAATTGGGCCTGCAGTACTTGCTGATGTCATCGATCCATCTTGTTTCGTGGACACTTTTTATTAAGTGGGAAAGGTAGAACTAGAACTCACAATCTCCTGGCCCAAATTTCATCCAGCTAGTTTTCATGCCTAAGAAGGGACAAGAACTCACAGTCTCATGATGATTGGCCTAAAGTCACCCAGCCATCTTTCATGCGTAAGAAGGCACTAGAACTCACAACTTCCTGGTGATTGGCCCAAATTCATCCAGCTGGCTTTCATGCCTAGAACTCACAGTCTCCCGGTTCTAATCCAGCACCTTTAACCATTACACCAAATGGCAGCTTAAATACTTCTTTAACAAAAGTTTAGCCACACAGAGGCACTGTAGACAGTGGGATGGGTGGCATACACATTCAATAAGTAAATAAGAACCCTGAATAGATGTCCCTCTGCTCTGCATCATATTCCTTAAATAAAACAGTTCCCCAAACATAAAATGTAACTTATCAAAAACAGAGTAGCTACAATTTTCCAAATCCCTCAACCTGTCAGTCATTTTCATGACAGCTGCCTGGAGCCAAATGCCTTCCAGCTGCATCTATTGCAGTAACCTTGGGGGGCGGGGGTGTTTAGAAATAATCTACCTCCATCCACCACCTCCCCCCCAAAAAGTGTGCTAAGATGCTGTGCATATCAGTGTGCAATTATTCCGTAGCCCCTTCTTATTTCTTCAGAACAATGGAACAAAAATAGCCTGGGCCAGCAGAGAGCCTTACCTGAATCATATCATCTCTAAGACAAGATAATTCTGCAGCGATGCTAGAAATATCTCATCAGCTGGAAAAAAGACGGGCAGAAATGAAAGGGGAAAGCCTTATAATGGCTCCCCAAAGAGGAAAGCAATATCACGGCTGGTTTGATGTGCCAATCTTTTATTATCAGGGGCTTTTCACTGACTGTCATCTCAACAGGAACATGCAAATTTAGAGAGATTCTTTTAGCATCAGGTGGGGAAAAAGGACAAGAACCACAGCTTGGGCAGGGAGTTCTCAGAGAAGCAATGCAAAAAATAAAATAAAAAATAGTGTCTGACTTAATTCCGGATAGAATATTTTGAAGCGAGAAGTAGTTGCATCCTGGAATCTTGTGGGATGGATGGATGGAAACGTATCAAAGAGAGAAGCAACTGTTTTGACGTAGGCTTCCCCACCAGCACGAAGCGAGTCCTCATCCTGATAAACCCCTTTCATTTAATTTACAGTGAATTCCTCTCCGGCAAAGTCTTTCCTCTCCCACAGTCTTTCAAGATAGTTCATAATTACCGACCTTTGTCAGGCTTGGAGAGCAGCCAGGCCTATATCTTTCAGATGCTGCAATACTTGGCAAGAATGCAGGAATGAACTAATTGTCTCCTGCAAACTCCACTCNAATAAAACTCCGAGGCTTGAATTTCCTCAAAGTTCAATTTTATTAGAGATGTCATATTGGCACATCTGGGAAAACCTGAATCTAAAAGCTTCCAGGTTTTCCCACTCAGATGAAAGTTCAAGACCCTGACCCAACACTCACAAGTCTATCACTTGGTCCAATCATTGATTGCCACGGATTCCTCCCATCCACATGCAGGGACAAAGTGGCCTTGATTTTCTGAAAAAGAATGTTGTTATGGCTACATATCACCCATACTCTGTATAATCCTCCCTCCCACTTTCCCACAGTAGAAAGTGTATCAGGCCTGAAATCCAAAAGGTAAAAGATGGCTTCCAGGTCTGACACTGGAATCACAACACCAACATGCAACAGTAACTTGATCCATATGGTTAGAACGGAAATCAGGTTAAACCGCTAGCTCCATTGGCCCTAAGCTCTTTGGAAGAGCCCAGAGGCTGGATTACCAAATGCGATCTACTTTCACTGCAAAAGGACTGTTTTCAGAGACCTCTGCTAGGCCCCATCAGCACCTCCTTCCTCCTGCTGGTGGAAAGAGAGTGAGCAGACGCTAGAGGCTTTTGTTGATTGATAGGAGGGGAGAGCAAATGCTTCAGCTAGGCTGTACCAGTGCAGAAGAGCTTTTGCCTGTCACCAGATAGTTCAACAATAAATCACTTGGATTTACTTTTTCATGACATTGTAAAGCTGGGTCTGTCAACAGCATGGCTGTGGCACTGATGAAACATCATCCACAAACAAAGACACAACAGGAGCAACATGTCAGGTGCTAATTCTCTGAGTCTCACCCAAGTTGCACACAGTTTTCATAAAAGGTAACATTTAGCAGGATCTGCCCAGCACCTGCCCTTAATTGAATACATATTCAGCAGTTCTGCTACTTCAGGTGAGAGGAGACATATATATTGCTGGGGTTATGGTTCATTTGTCCCTCAGTATGTGGTATTTGTATCTAATTTTGTGTGGTGTGCCTCTCGGTTTCTGAGAGTTGATCTATGTTATAAAGATTCAAATAAATGCAATGTTCAGATACCCCAACAGTTTCCTTTCCCTCGAGTCTCTGCTGTTGAACCAAATGAAACAATCTCTGTATTAATAAATCCAGCTTGGCACATTTAATCTTCAAAGAACTTTACAAATATTAATATTATTAATTTCTTTTCAAGAAGTCCTAGAAGGTAAGTGTGAAATTAAAACAGAGAGCCAGACTCCTGGAATGAGTCTGAATTGCATTATTATTACTAATAATATAAATGTATTTATATGTATAGATATAGCATGTCTATATGTGTGCATGTGTACACTTTTGAAAGCAGGCAACAGAATTTGATTTTTAATATGTGCAGTATGGCCACAGTAAAAAATGACAATAAACAATATCTCTCTAATTAATGAAATTAATTAATTTCTGTCATTAACAGAAATAACAGAGTTGTAAGGGACTTTGGAGGTCTTCTAATCTTTTAGTCCAACCTCCTGCTCAAGCAGGAAACTTTATACCATTTCAGTCAAATGGTTGTCCATCCTCTTCTTAAAAATCTCCAGTGTTGAATCACCCACAACTTCTGGAGGCAAGTCATTCCCCTGATTAATTGTTTTAACTATTAGGAAATGTCTCTTTAGTTCTAGGTTGCTTCT